GCGAGGGTTGCAATCAATATCACAAAACAATTTGTGTAAAATTTTTTGAATGAGAAACTAATTTGTGCTGTAAACTTAAAATTAAAACAACAACTTAGATTCTAAAATAGGAGTTAAATTTCCAGGAACTTAAGAAGTGCCTAACAAATGTTACTTTGTCCAATGAACATTAAGCAATTTTGAGGCCTTTCGAGTTGTTTTCATTTTGTCCAAGTTTAAATTGAGTAGCACAGCATTTTCAGCAAAATCACTATAAGGCTATCAACTAAATTACTGCCCAATTCATTATGAAGACTGTGATGGTTAATTTTATACGTCAGCATGGCTAGGCGATGGTGCAAAGTTGTTTGGCCAAACACTAGTCCAGACGTTGCTGTGGAGGCCTTTTGTAGATGTGATTAACATTTACCTACCCAGTGGTACAGTGGAAGAAAAGGCCTGGCGATCTGTTTCCATTAAGATGGAGCAGTTTTACTACGTAACACATGTAGTCACCATGAGCCGAAATCAACTCAATGGCAATCAACAGCAACAACGAAGGAGATTACTCTCGATAATGTGGGTGGGCCTCGTCCAATCATTTGAAGGCCTTAAAAGTAAAAACTGAGGTCTCCTGGAGAAAAAAAGAATTCTGCTTTAAGACTTTAGCGTAGAACCTGTCTGAGTTTCCAGCCTGCCACTTGCCCTACAGATCTCAGCCTTGCTAGCCTCTGCAATTGTGTGAGCCAATTCCTTAAAATCAATCAATCTCTCTTTCTCTTTCTATCTCTTTGTATGTATGTGTTGTTGTTGTTAGGTGCTGTCCAGTTGGTTCCGACTCATAGCAACCGTATGTAGAACAGAACCAAACACTGCCCGGTGCTGCGCCATCCTCACAATCATTGTTATGCTTGAGCCCATTGTTGCAGCCACTGTGTGAATCCATCTCGTTGAGGGTCTTCTTCCTCTTTTTTGCTGACCCCCTACTTTACCTAGCATGATGTCCTTCTCCAGGGACTGATCCTTCCTGAAAACACGTCCAAAGTACGTGAGACATGGTCTTGCCATCCTCGCTTCTAAGGAGCGTTCTGGCTGTACTTCTTCCAAGACAGATTTGTTCATTCTTTTGGCAGTCCATGGTATGTTCAATATTCTTCACTAACACCACAATTTAAAGGCATCAGTTCTTCAATCTTCCTTATTTATGTCCAGCTTTCACATGCACATGAGGCAACTGAAAACACCATGGCTTGGGTCAGGCATACCTGACCCATAGTCTTTAAGGTGACATCTTTGCTTACGTATACACATATATATGTATAGGTAGATATATATCCTATTGGTTCTGTTTCCCTGGAGAACTCTGACTAATACAAAGACTATTGGAGATCCATGGAATGTATTTGGAGATAGGAAGCTCAGCTGAGCAATTCCATTCAACACCTGCATAAAAATAATGCTTGGCTTCAATTCACGGATGTGTGTTTTTCATTTATAATATTAGAATTAGGACAAGTGCTTAGATCTCTTCCAAACACAAGAGATTCTTCTATTTTAAATTCATTAAAAAGATAAATTATGTTGCTAACCAAATTCAGGGTTGACCTTATTAATTGAGGAAGTAAAAAATGGCCACCCATAATCAAATTTCATTGGTGCTAGGATGATCTGCACCAACATTACTGTCCCTTAACCAAAAGTCACCCCACTCTTCCCCAAATACTTTCTCCTCTGTCTATTACCTCAAATAGGACAAAGGAGAGTCATTTTATAGTTTTTGTCTCTCTTTAAATGGCAAATAGGCCTGGGAGAGATAATATAAGAGGTCATATAAAGTTAGTTACACCTCAACAAATATTTTTAAAGTACTTACTAAGTGGGAAACCCTGGTGGCATAGTGGTTAAGAGCTACGGCCGCTAACCAAAAGGTCAGTAGTTCAAATCCACCAGGTGCTCCTTGGAAACCTTATGGGGCAGTTATACTCTGTCCTATTGTCTCCACAGCAATGCGTTTGGGTTGGTTTGGTTTTTGGTTTACAAAGTGGGAGGCAACCTTCAAGGTGCTGGGAATAAGAAAAGGAGGGCGGTCCTGCCCTCAAGTCACATACAGCCTAGGGGAGGGGACACACGTGGTAATGAGTCTGTGTACCATAAACCAAACCAAAACCAAACCCATCGAGTCCATTCTGATTCAAGCGACCCTAAAGGACAGCGTAGAACTGCCCCATAGGTTTTCCAAGGCTGTAATCTGTACAGCAGCAGACTGCCACCTCTTCCTTCCACGTGGCTGCTTGTTGGTTCAAACTGCTGACCTTTCGTTTTTGAAGCCGAGTGCTTTAATCACTGTGCCACCAGGCCTCCTCCATGTAACAAAAGGTGATAGTTGTTCTGAAACAGTTGCCTGAGCCACGGAGGAAACTTAGGAGTATTAATACTTCAGTCCTCATGAGTCAGGAAGCACTTCAGAATGGGTAACAGGTGAGAAAGAGTAGAAACTTGGAGAAACGCCTTGGAAGGTAAGCGGGCAATGACGGCAGAACACACACAGAGCGGGGGAGTGTGAAGGAAAGCAATTCTAGGCATGTTTAAAGCCGCAGAGATGAGAACAGGGTGGATTTAGAAAAACCCAGTATGGCTGGAGTTTAGGAAACATACAGGGAGTGAGGAGAGAAGAGGCTGTACATTTTTAGTCCCTACTAATTTCCAAGAGGCAGTCCTTCCAACAGAACAAGGGGATATTGCGTGGTTTAAAATCAGGAAAGGTGTGCGTCAGGGTTGTATATTTTTACCACACTTATTCAATCTGTATACTGAGCAAATAATCCCAGAAACCAAACTGTATAAAGAAGAATGTGGCATCAGGACTAGAGGAAGACTCATTAACAACCTGCGATATGCAGATGACACAACCTTGCTTGCTGAAAGTGAAGAGGTTTTTAAGGACTTACTGATGAAGATCAAAGACCACACACAGTCTTTACTGCATAAGACTACACCTCAACATAAAGAAAACAAAATTCCTCACAACTGAACCAACACGCAACATCATGATAAATGGAGAGAAGATTGAAGTGGTCAAGGATTTCATTTTACTTGGGTCCACAATCAGCGCCCACAGAAGCAGCAGCCGAGAAACCAAACGACATATTGCAATGGTCAAATCTGATGCAAAAGACCTCTTTAAAGTGTTAAAAAACAAAGATGTCACTTTGAGGACTAAGGTGAGCCTGACCCAAGCCATGGCATTTTCACTTGCCTCGTATGCCTGCAAAAGCTGGATAATGAATAAGGAAGACCAAAGAAGAATCGATACATTTCAATTACGGTGTTGGCGAAGAATATTGAATATACCATGGAATGCCAGAAGAATGAACAAATCTGTCTTGAAAGAAGTACAGCCGGAATGCTCCTTAGGATGGCAAAACTTCATCTCATGTACTTTGGACATGTTAACAGGTGGGACCAGTGCCTGGAGAAGGACATCATGCTTGGTAAAGTAGAGGGTCAGCAAAAAGAGGAAGACCCTCAACAAGATGGGTTGATAGTGGCTACAATAATGGGCTCAAACATAGCAATGATTGTGGGGATAGCACAGGACTGGGCAGTGTTTTGTTCTGTTGTACGTAGGGTCGCTATGAGTTGGAACCAAGTTGAGGGCACCTAACAACAACTAGGTCCAGCAGGAGCCCTGGTGGCACCGTGGTTAGGCTCTCGACTGCTAACTTAAAGGTCAGTGATTTGAACCTACTAGCGCTCTGTGGGAGAAAGATGTGACAGTCGGCTTCGGTAAATTTACAACCTTGGAAACCCTATGAGGCAGTTCTACTCTGTCCTATAGAGTCACTATGAGTCGGAATTGACTCAACAGCAATGGGATTGGGGGGGTACTAGGTTCCAGGTATCGGGCTTTGGATACATTATGGCAGTCTATGTGGCGCAGTGGTTAAGCGTTTTGCTGCTAACCAAAAGGTCTGCAGTTTGAATCCACTAGCCGCTCCTTAGAAACCCTATGGGGCAGTTCTACTCTGTCCTGTAGGGTAGCTGTGAGTCGGAATTGATTTGCAGGCAACGAGTTTGGTTTTTTTTTTTTTTTTTTTTTGTATCCTCATGACAAGGAGCCCTGGTGGCACAAATTGTTAAGAGCTCAGCTGCTAACCAAAATTTGGTGGTTCAAACTCACCAGCCACTCTGTGGAAGAAAGACCAGGTGATCTGCTTCCATAAAGATGACAACTTAGAAAACCCTATGGGGCAGTTCTGCTCTGTCGCATGGGATTGCTATGAGTCGAAAAATCCTCCACAGGCACCTAACATTCTCGTGACAACCCTATGAGTTGGATCAGATTATTATTCCCATTTTACAGATAAGGAAGATAAAACACAGAGAGATTGAGTAGGTTGCCCAAGGTCAACCAGCTTGTAAATTCTCAGAGGCAGGCTTTAAACCAGGCAGTGGGATATTATTTCTAAGGGCAGGTTGTGAGAGGAAGGTCCAAAGTTGCCTAAAGGCATGGAAGGCCTCGGGGCAGATGTGAGGTATCAGAGCAAAGTGTACTAGCCCAGGTGTAGAGTAGATTCACCCACTTGTGTGTTGTTTGAGGGCGAGCATACAAGGGCTACTGAGGGAAAGTGGAGGAGATCTTAGAGAAGATTGAAGGCATCTTCCTTTCTATTCATCAGGGTAGCATCTACCTCCAAGAAACCACCCCTAGAGCTGTGCTGGGACAGAGTTCATCACCCTCCCTACTGTCATGGGGTAGAAACGTCACAAAGGTTAGTAAAGCAAAAAGAAAGTTTTATTCAGCATACACTCAAAGAGGCAAAAGCAGGAAATGAACAAGCATGCTGCGAGAGCTATGTCTGCCCGAGTCCAAGGAAATATTACAGAATAGACAAGAGTAGGAAAATGGACAAGCATGGTGCCAGAGTCTTGTCTGCTGAGTCTGAGGAACCTTATAGAGTCATCAGTATATATTAACATTACAAATGGGCAAAACCATGGAAAGCTTCACCTTTTCACAAATTGGCTAGAAACTGCAAATCACTGTAATCCTACATTTTGAATTGTCTTTTTCAGCAATCATTGGTAGAGGTTTCAGTAATGACAGTCAGGACGATCTTTGTTGGTCCAACAAATCTTACTATTCACTAAATGCTAATAGAAAAAGATAAGAGTGGAAAGTAAGTAGGTATTTTGTGCTGTGTTTTATGATTTGCTTATGTAAAAGTTTCCCTAAAAGATGTTTTCTAAGATTGTCCTTGCTATTATCTTTATACCTCCGGGCCCAGTTGATGTGTCCTTGTGAGTCCAGCTCCAGCTGGGTCACATTTTAGGACAGGGAATAATGGCTCCAATATTATCTTCTAAATCACTACACCAGTGCTGGAAAGGGCCTTACCCAGTTACTGAATCAGAAACTCCGGAGATGGGCCCAATAATCTGTGTCTTAAGACATCTTCTAGGTGATTTTGAAGCATGCTCGAGTTTGCGAACCACTGCTGTAAGCCAGCCATCTGCAAGCCGTGACCCATGTGCCAAATCCGGCCTGCTACCTGATTTTCTACAGCTGGTGAGCTAAGAATGGTTTTCACATTTTAAAATGGTTGGAGGGGGGAAGAAAAGCAAAAGAAGAATATTTTGGGACATGTGCAAATAGTGTGATATTCAAATTCCACTGTCAATAAATAGAGCTTTATTGGAACCTGGCCACACCCATTCATTTCTGGAGTTTCTGTGGCTGCTTTCACTCCATGGCAGAGTTGTGTAGCTGTGACAGACTATATGGCCTGCAGAGCTGAGCCTGGTGGCACAGTGGTTAAGCATTTGGCTGCTAATCAAAAGGTCAGCAGTTGGAATCCACTAGCTGCTCCTCGGAAACCCTACGAGACAGTTCTACTGTGTCCTATAGGGTCACATGAGTCAGAATCAACTTGGCAGCAATGGGTTTGGCTTTCTGTTTTGGCACTTTCCAGAAGGAGTTTGCTGACCCCTGCTTGAAACCCCTTGTTCCTTTATCGTCCTCCATCTCCACTTGTCCCTATCCTTGCATCTGAGGTCAGCTGGTGTCATTCAGCGGCCCTGGCAACTCCTACCAGCTGGTGGAACTCAAGGTCAAAGAGGTGGCTAACTTTTGCTTTAGTATGAGGTAGTGCAGGGAAGCAAAGCAACCTCCATTTCCATATGCAAACTTGAATTAGTAGTTCTGCCCCAGGAGAACCTGACTCCTGTGTAGTTTGCATTCACATTTTTGTTTCAGGGCTTAGGGAATATATTTCCTTAGCATTTGATTATGGATCTGGTTTATCAGAAACTCCTGTGGGATCCGCCTGCTCTCTGTTGGTTCTGTCGAGAATGCTCTGGTATGCAGATGGTGGGTTACTGCAAATTACAAAACTGAATGTTCCTGGTTTAGGGATGTGGCAGTTGTCCTCTAGATGAAATTATCTGTCTGCAAGTTCAGGATCTCACTTCCTGAAAAGGGTCCTCTCCTAATACTTCCTGAGTTAAAGACATATATGCCCACTGAGGAAAGCCTATGAATACAATTGTATTGTCTGTGGAAAAACAAGAGGATTCCTTCATTCTCCTCTGCCCTGCAACCAGCAGCTTCTTTCTGAGGCAGTATGCCTATTTGCTCAACACTAGCATAATAGCCACCGGAACTGTGTGGTCTGTGTTAAAATTAATCTTTTAAATCACTTAATAATGTGCCACAGAAGCAGCCAATTGTACTGACTGCTCAAGTGAACTACTTTTAGCATGAAGAGAGGAGTATTTCACTTTGGGTTTAATTTTACATTAATTTAATTATGCGAGTGTCTGAGAACGACATAATTTGACTTTACTTATCCCTGGGGAGATATCAGTGAATTCTCAATTCCTTCCGAGAAGCCAGTCTTTGGGATTTGTGTGGTTGACTTCATGACCTCACTGTTTGATTCTAAAAAGGCCTGCTGGACTTCAGCCGGGTCTACTGGACTCAGTATAGTGGGGGAATGATTGTGGGGTGTGTGTGTGTGTGTGTGTGTGTGTGTGTGTGTGTGTGTGTGAGGGCATTGAATGTACATGCATCTCTACCTTCTTATAAGGAGGGAAGGACTGGCTGAGCTCTAAACTCAGCCCTACAGAGCGGTAGAAGGAGGAGCATCATGGAGATTTTAAATGGCAACAAATACAAAGGGAGATCTATATGTGAACAAAACCGTGGTTGATTATTAGCAAAAGTTTTGTCTTAGACAATGCAGTCGGTTTCCACACAGAAAACAGCTTTCAGAAAGTGCCTGTTGAGAAGGTGTTATTGCTGTTTGGAGCCTTCAATTTTTGACTCATAGTGACTTTGTGTGACAGCGCACATAGGGTTTCTTAGGTTCTAACCTTATGGGGGAGCCCAGGTAGGGCAATGGTTAAGAGCTTGGCTGCTAATCAATAAGTTGGCAGTTTGAATCCACCAGCTGCTCCTTGGAAACCCTATGGGGCAGTTCTACTACTTTGTCCTACAGGGTCGCTATGAGTGGGAATAGACTTGGTGGAAATGGGTTTGGTTGTTGGTGTTTTACTCTTTACGGGAGCTGACCCCAGGTAGGTTCGAATCACCAACCTTTCACTTAGCAGTCAAGTGCTTAACCATTGCACCACCAGAGATCCTTGTTGAGAAGGTAGGAAACTATATTTGACTTCCTTGACATCTGGGAAGCGAATAGGGCAGGATCAGGTGAAAAGAAGGATGGTGAATTTTGGGAGCAGAAAAGTATAGAAATCCCAAGGCTGAGAAGGAAGTCTTTGGTCTATTTATACAGATTACTTTTCTTGCAACTTTTATTATGAAAAATTTCAAAGATACAGAGAAGTTGAAAGAATAGTTTAATGAACACCCATATACCCACTCAGCTAGACTGAATAAATTGTTAACATTTCCCCTTATTTATTTTATCTGTCCATCTATCGATCCATCCATTTGTCCATTCCTTGTTGGTTTGTCTATGTGCCTAACTTTCCATCTCTTCATCCATCCCGTCCATCAATCTATCTTTCCATTTCTCTCTCTTTTTAAAGCGTTTTGAAAATAAGTTATAGACATCATGACCCTTGATCCATAAATACTTCAGCATGCTTCTCTTCCAAATAAGGACATTCCCCTGTATATCATTTTTACACTTGTAATAATTAACAATAATTCCTTAATATTATTGAATATATATTTCTATTGAGTTTATATGTTCATTTATTATATTTTTCAAGTTGAGAAGTTCTGTTTTCTTCTTAAAATTTGCCTCTTTTGTATAGATATTTTAAAGCTCTTTAAAAAAAGTCTTTAAGCATACTAAATATCACTGTTACCTATAGAGTGATAAATAATTCCAGCATCTAAAATTTTATTTATTATTTTTGCCGATTCTCCTCCAGTTGTCTGCTCCTTGTGTGTTTCCTGAATTTTAACCAGAAGCTGTCCATTTTCCTTGGAAATTTATTAGTGAGAATTCTTTCAGGTTTGGTTTGAACTTCAGACCCTCTGGAGAGGACATGGTCTTGCTTCTGCCTGCAACAAACCTGAGAGTACTTTAAGCCAATTCTCTGCTTGAGATGATTCAGGTCACATAGGTAGCCAACTTTAGACTGAAACTTGGTATAAGGATCTTAAGGAAGATGTCTCTTTTATCCATCCAATACCAACTTGAGATAGATGGATAGGTAGTTCTTGTTTTGTTTCATTTTGGTTTTGGCCTCCTTTGTGCATCTCGTGTTTGCTTTTGGGCAGGTGTTGCCCATTTGGTCTCATTGACGTGATTAAGCTGACACACGTTCCTCACGTGTGTTATTGTTTTATAGAACTGTGTAATCTTTGGCTGAGGGCTGAACCTCAGGATCTTGTTTACTTCTGAGTTCTAACTTCAGGGGTCTCCTATTAGATTCCCCAGCTTGGGTGAAAACTGGACTTTATTGCATTTCCAGGGTTCAACACAAAGTCCTTTGAACGTGGCAATATTTGGACTGACTTGCTTTTCAGGGTTTCTAAGTTCCCCTTTTGGGAAGACTTTGTAGTATGGGGGTTGTACTTCTAGAAAGAAGTATTCCATCAGTTGTTCACTAGGATCGGAAGGGAGAATATTCAAGGAAGAATAAGGCTGACTTTCCTCTAGGGAAAGTTTATAGCTTGAGTTTAATTCCCTGTCTTGAAATAGTCTCAGAATAATGATGGTGTAAAGATTTGCATGCCATGATTTTCTACTTTATTTATATCAAAAACATTACACAACATTGTTTCATCTGGCTGTGTACAAATGCTCGATTCTCTTGCAGCAGTGGAGGTTATGCATTGCCCAAAAAAGGACGCTTTGTCCATTCCAGATCAGGGAAACTAAAAAATGACCTAATTAATAGCCAGAAGGTATGGTTTCTACTCTTGATCTTTAGATGTTTCTTTAAATCCACAAAGAGGGGGCTCCAAAGGGAGGTGAAAGATAAAGGTGACTCTTCTGGTTGTATTTTTTAGGCTAGATTTTATGGGAAACTAAATATTTGGCAGCTATGACTACTCAGATGAAGGAAGTCAAGGTCTACAATTTGACTGAGTGAACATCACCGTTAATCAACCTGAAAATGCAAAAGTGTCAGAAAGTGGAAGAATAAAGTCCGGTAGATAATTTTTAATCTTAAAATTTTGAAGTTTATTATCAGGTAATATAGAATAGATTATCTTTCTTTATGTTTGTTTTCTCAATTTTGTTCACTAATAAAATACAAAGCTTTGAGTTTTTACATACTCAAGTAAAAAAATGGAATATTAGGACAGATTTCCAAGTACGGTTACTCCAGAGAGATCCCATAGTGACAGCAGGAATACAAGGATGGCAAATTAGCTCTTTTTGTTTGTTTGTTTAAGATGTAGGAATTATCATGTTGATTTGGTCACTTAGATGTAGCTTCCATGTACATGCAGACCACATAGATATCCAGAATGGCTAAAGAAAATTGTAAACCACAGCACTCTTAAATTCAAATCACTGGATATGGAGGTATTGTCTGTTAGTTCTTACCTGAATTTTCCTTACAAAATTCCGCAAATGTGGATAAAGACGAAGTCCCCCTTTCCAAAGTAACATGAGTTTGTACACCACTTGGAAAAACTTGGTGATATTTCCTTTAGTGCTCTCCTCTGCCTCTTTAAAAGTGCTAATGAGAAGCAATGAAGCAGAAAAGGATAGGATGATGCTGCAGGATTTGTGAAGATAGAGAAGCTCCCGGCCTTGGGCCAGCTCCAGCGTTCTCTGGGCCACACATTTAGCCAGAGAAGCCCAGTAGAGCATTAGCCTGTAGCTTATCTTTGTACACTTCAATTAAAGTTGCTCTCTGACTCTGTGTTGGAGAATTTTGGCACCAATATTTAAAAACACCTACATTCAGCCAGCCATCTGTAAATTCTTCACTTTCTGCTGTCTTCTTGGTTCTGTTCTCATTGCCGCCATCTTGGTGTGGTCCCTAAATTCCAGTTGGCACTGGTTTAGTATTTTAACTGGCTTTCTGACTATCATCTCTCCCCACATACGACCAATCTGTCTAGGACTCACTGTTAATCTCTCCAAAAGGAGTTTCACTCAGAAAGTCTTGTGCTCAAGAACATTTAATAGCCCCATCATGGCTACCTAGAAAAAGCCCATGCTCCCTAATTTTGTTTTTAAGACCCTTCATAATCTGGCCCTAAATTCCTCACCCAACTTTATTTGTCTCTCACAACTCATTATAAGAATCTTCTGTTTTAGTTATAGCTGTGCTTGACTGCTAACCTAAAGGTTGGCAGTACTTCAAATGACAGGCCTGAAGATCTGCTTCCATTAAGATTACAGCCGAGCGAACCCCTGTGGAGCAGTTCTACTCTGTAACAACACATGGGATTTCCAAGAGTTGGGATCAACTCGACAAGTGTTTTTTCACTTCCTGAAAATACCATATTGTAAACATCAAAGCAAACAGCAATCATTATTTTTGTAATGTGAAAGCTCAGGGAAAAAGGTTAAGGATAAAAACCAATGGATGTAGCAAAATTATTTAAAGACTTATTAGCTGATATAACTCTGTATAAATCTTGCATGATCTTTCTTATCATTAACTTTTTGGTTACACCAGGTGGGTAGACAGAATGATGTGACCAAATCCATCCCACTTGGAAGCAACAGATCATGTTGTGTAAGAAGCTTCATCGTCGTATGGATCCTTCCTCCAACTTCCAACTTTTCTTTCTCTGTCCTTTTCTTTTGAACTCTCCTCTTGAACATTTATTATCAACCACATCTGCAGTCCCGTGTCCCTGAACATTTGCCATCTTCTGGACAGCTGGGTTTATTTTGATTGATGTTCCTTTGTTCATCGTGCAAATACAGCATCACTTTGAATATGATTTTCAATTTGATGAGTGTTCTGAGGGTTTATTATGCAAGGGTGGTCTTGCCCACAGCCTAATTGCCACTCGATTTTGGCAGCTTCCCACATTGACATGTTTATTACTCAAATTCCCTTTTTTTCACTAATTCTAAACCCTAAATTCCCTTGTTCTTAAAAATTTTGTGATGAAATCAATACTTCTGCATTAAAATATTATTTATTTGTTTGTTTCAAATCTCTTAATTTTACTTTTGGGTATATTTTATACTGTACATAATACACTAATACATTAGTTATGCTATTATTTTTAAATAATTAAATGCACATATATTGAAGTCAATATATGTTTAACTTTTTAATAACTGGTCAAATTGCTTTCCAAAGTGGCTGCACCATTTTACTTTCCTACCAGCAATGCATGAGGGTTCCAGTTCCTCCACATCTTCACAGTCAACACTTCTTTTTGTCTTTTTTTTCTTTTTTTTAATTACAGACATCTTAGTGGTATAAAGTGGTATCTCATTGTGGTTCTCATTTTCATTTCCTTAATAACTAATGATGTTGAGCATCTTTTCAATGTAGACCTTCTTTGGTAAAATACCTATTCATATCTTTTGTGGATTATCTTTTAATGCTTTCTCCAAATAAGTGAACCCTCTATGAGTATATGATTAATGTTTCATACTTCTCTGTACCCCGAAAACCTGCCTGGCACAGAATAGGGTACTGCCATAATGGTGACCCAAGTGCCCACAAAAATGATGATGATTTTACAGATTAAATTTAAAGAAAGTTTGATGTTCTGATCTCATTAACTACACAAACTCAAATGTTCACAGTGGCCAGGCTGGTAATGTTTAACTTGGGTTGACTTTGGGGAAATAGTTGTGTAGAGGGCATACTCTACTTAAAAAGACAGTTAACGAAAAAAACCCAAACCCATTGCCACTGAGTCAATTCTGACGCATAGTGATCCTATAGGACAGAGTAGAACTGCCCCATAGGGTTTCCAAGGAGTGGTTGGTGGATTCGAACTGCCAACCTTTTGGTTAGCAACTGAACACTTAACCATTGTGCCACCAGGGCTCCAAAAAGACAGTTAAGTTCATTTAAAACAAAAATCACTGTGCTGGCCAAGGGAATTCACTTATCACTGGATTTGACTCTCAGGCTACCAGACTGACAACCCTGGTTAGATGTATACCAGACCTTTCATCACTGAGCCTAATTCAGGAGAAGACAGGCCACTACCCAGGGTGTGTTTGCCTATCACTGTGGTATCGAGTATCTTGTATGAGAAATTCTATGGCCTTCTAAGTTGTCTTCCTGTCCCAGGTTTGCCATATTCCTCTATGCTGCAGTCACGAGTGTCAGTGCAACTGTGTGGATGCCGCTGCCAGGCCTGAAACCCTTCTAAAACTCCTTGTTGCCAGTTGGGTCAACTCCAAATGCCTTAACATGGCCCTCAAGGCATAGCCTGATTTGGCTCCTGCCACTTCCCAGAGGAAATGACCTTTGCCTCTTCCTGTTGCACCCATGTACCACTCACTTTCTCATCACTAGCTTTTGCTCCTGCGACTTCATCTTCTTGTAAGATGCCCCTCCCAACCCTGATTTCCATCTTCAGCTGAAAACTCCCTCATCATTCTCAGCTCACCTTTGATGCGAACTCTTCTGTATACACCTAGAAGATCCCATATTGCTCTTGTCAGAGCATGTTTGACATTTTATTGTCATTTCTTCATTTCTTATTCAGTTTCTCTGCTATTTGAGGGAAAGAACTATGTGCATCTTATTCATTGATGTATTTTCAGTGACTAGCACATGTGGTTGCATAGAGGAAGAACTCAAAGAGATTGCATCGTTTGTCAAACCAACTGATTTAGGAGCATCGTCTTGGAGGATGACATTATGGTGAAGAGTCAATAAGCCTGGCTAGCATGGATGAAGTAAAATCCAGGTTAGTATCTGGTTTTCACTCATTCTTCTGTGGGTCTGGAACTTGGTGAAATATGTAGCATTTTTTCTAGAATGGAGCTTGCTGGAGATACTCAGTCAGATAATATCTGGAACCTGGAGGTGAGACACTAGATAATGAAACTCCAAGCTGCTGAGCCATCCAACATGCTGTCTGATAGGTCTTGTCACTCTGCTTTATTGCTATAGCTTTTAGTGATGGATTTCCTTCTTCCAACAGAGTCCCCAGGGAATATTAACACTTACCTAACACACTAGTTTCTGCAATGTGCCGAGTGATGGTTACCTAACCAGATTCTTGCCTGAAAAAAGCTCTTGGAGCTGGAGATGTTAGAGATCTGTATGTGCCAAAAACATAACTTCATTCTCGTTTTAAAGGGCTGAAGTCCTCGGCAAACCTATTGGGTCACGTAAATTGGTGTGCCTTTCATTTGGAAAAGGAAATGTACACTTAGGGCTAAAGTTTTTTTTTTTTAAATTTTTTTTATTGTACTTCAGGTGAAGGTTTACAGAACAAATAGTTTCTCATTAAACAGTCAGTACACATATTGTTTTATGATACTGGTTAACAAGCCCACGACATGTCAACCCTCTCCCCTCTTGACATTTTTTTTTGGTGAAAATATACATAGCCAAAGATGCACCATTTCAAACATTTCTACATGCACAGTTCAGTGACATCGATTACATTCTTCCAATTGTGCTGCTATTCTCACTTTAGATGAAGGTTTACAGAACAAAATAGTTTCTCATTAAACAGTTAGTACACATGTTGCCCTATGACAATGATTAACAACCCCACTACATGTCAACACTGTCCTTACTCAACCTTGGGTTCCCTATCACCAGCTTTCCTGTCCCCTTCTGCCTTCTAGTCCTTGTCCCTGGACTACTGTGCCTCATTAGTCCCGTTTTGTTTTATGGGGCTGTCCAATCCCTGGCTGAATGGTAAACCTCGGAAGTGACTTCACCACTGAGCTAAAAGGGTCTCTGGGGGCCATATTCTCAGGGTTTCTCCAATCTCCTTTAGGCCAGTAAATCTGGTCTTTTTTGTGTGTGTTAGACTTTTGTTTTACATCCTTCTCCAGCTGTGTCCAGAACCCTCTGTTGTGATCCTGGTCAGAGCAGTTAGTGGTGGTAGCTGGGCACCACTGAGCTGTACTGGACTCAGTCTGGTGGAGGCCTTGGTAGCTGTGGTCCATTAGTCCTTTGGACTAATCTTTTCCTTGTATCCTGTTCTCTTCATTCTCCCTTGCTCCCAAAGGGATGAGACCAGTGGAGTATCTTAGATGGCTGCTCACAGGCTTTTAAGACCCCAGGCGCTACTCACCAAGGTAGAACGTAGAACATGTCTTTAAGAAACTGTGTTATGCCAATTAAGCTAGATGTTCCCCGAGACCATGGCCCCCACAGGGCTGAAGTTTTAAAGTGACTTTTTCTAAGTGAGTTTTGAATGGTATTTGACATCTGTAAGAACTACATTTATTTTGTTTATATCTCTTACCTCCTAACACAGTGCCTCATACTTAAAAGGTATTCAATAAACATTTGTTAAATGAATGAATGGATGAATATTGATCTCCTATCATATGTGAGACACTTCATTAGGCTTTTGGGGGGAATCACTGAAGGCAATAAGCAACATCATGATAAGTGGAAAAAAGATTGAAGTTGTCAACGATTTCATTTTACTTGGATTCACAATCAACAACCATGGAAGCAGCAGTCAAGAAATCAAATGACGTGTTGCGTTGGGCAAATCTGCTGCAAAAGACCTCTTTAAAGTGTTCAAAAGCAAAGATGTCACTTTGAGGACTAAAAATATGCCTGACCCAAGACATGGTATTTTCAATCTCCTCATATGCATGCAAAAGTTGGACAATGAATAAGGAAGACTAAAGAAGAATTGATGCCTTTAAATTATGGTGTTGGTGAAGAATATTGAGTATACCACTGACTGCCAGAAGAATGAACGAATCTATCTAGGAAGAAGTACAGTCAGAATGCTCCTTAGAGCGAGGATGGTGAGACTTCCTCTCACGTACTTTGGACATATTATCAGGAGGGACCAATCCTTGGAGAAGGACATCATGCTTGGTAAAGTGGAGAGTCAGCAAAAAAGAGGAAGACCCTCAACGAGATGGATTGACAGAGTGGCTGCAACAATGGGCTCAAACATAGCAATGATTATGAAGATGGCTCAGGACCAGGCAGTATTTCCTTCTGTTGTACATAGGGTCTCTATCAGTCAGAACCAACTCAAGCGTACTTAACAACAACAACAACAACAACATAACAACATTCTATTTTAAGGACCTAATCCTGGGTTTGAGTGCCTCAGAAAATGAGAAACGATGAAGGAAATGCTGTTTTATTATAGCTTTTTTTCCTCTTCCTTGGACAGGATCAGATTACCTTTATAGAGCTTGCCAGGTAAATTCTCCAAATTCTAGTATAATTAACCCTGCCAATTATGCTTCTCAATCTACTTGTCTCCTGTGGGATTGTTGGCAACATCACAATGGAGATAGTGAATTGAGGGAGTTCTTGCCTTTGATGTCAGGAATTCTTCAATCTCTAATACTTGAGAGTCAAAAAAGCAAATAAAAAAGTTCTAATCCCTCGGTATTACTAACTGGCATGGAAATAATTTAATAGTATTTTAACAACTCATTTACTTGGCAAGTGGGGAATGAGTGGCTTCCTGTTGAACGTATTATTAAGGTATTTTACCACTTTAACCGCCAAAACATATATTTAGCTATTTTTATAGGTTACAGAACATACTTCTCTGCCTTATTAAGCATTATATAAAAAGCATAAATTCAATGCCATACTCATTATACAAATCCCAGATGTTGTATTGAGGTTCAACGTACTGATGTGCCCAGAGCCTCTTATTGAGATGTGTAGGTCTAGTGGATCCTTCACTAAATGGCTCTGCTGTCTTTCTTTCCTTCCTGCCTGCCTGCCTTCCTATCTTCCTTCCTTCCTTTTTTTCCTTCTTCCCTTCCTTTCTTCCTATCTTTTAAAATTTGAGGTCTATTTTTTAAAACTTCTATTTCCAGGTGGGATCATTCCCTGGAGAAGGACATCATGCTTGGTAAAATAGAGGGTCAGTGAAAAAGAGGAAGACCCTCAACGAGATGGACTGACACGGTGACTACAACAATGGGCTCAAGCATAGCAGCAATTGTGAGGATGGCATGGGACTGGGCAGTGTTTAATTCTTTTGTGCTTAAAGTTACTATGAGTTGGAACTGACTAGACGGCACCTAACAACGACAATTTTTTTTTAAGAACAGTTTTTCTGTCTCATTCTTGCTGTCACGTCTCACTTCTTTTTGCTGATAATAAGGTCTCTTTTAGCAGTCTACTCCCCACCCCTTTTCAGATCTGTGACTTCAAAACTTGCCATAGTTTAGACAAATGTATCACTAAGCATGTTAGAATTTATATAAGACTGATTAGACATAAAGATACTCTCTTAGACCAAAAAAGCCCAAACCTGTTGCTGTCAAGTTGACTTCCACTAATGATGACCCCATGTCATTACAGAGTAGAACAACTCCGAAGAGTTTTCTTGGCTGTAATCCTTATGGAGATCGCCAGGCCTGTCTTTCACAGAACTGCTGGGTGGGTTTGAACTGTAAACCTTTAGCTTAGTAGTAATGCAAACCATTTTGCACCACCCAAGGACCTCGACACTCTCCTAGGGGTCAAATAAAAGCCATTTAGCAAGAACAATTGATTATATCTGATTTGGATAATTTTTAAAACTTTGGACTTTTGTTATTGTTTCTGGTAATTGAAGATATTGGATAGGTGAACTCTACAGAAGCGATATATTTTTTCATTATATCTGAACACTCAAAGTAGAGTACAGTCCTAGAATAAATCCATACTTTCATTCATTTTTTTTTTTTAAGGCTGTGAGAATGAACACAACTCTACGTATTATTCTGAAAAGCTGAGAGAGAGATAGAGAGAGAGAGAAAGAATGAAAATGAACCTCAGAAAGATTTATCGTTGATCCAGGGCTTAACTTTCATCTTTTAGGCATTTCATTTTTTTTTTTTTTGAGTTCATCTCCTAGGTTGTAAGAGTCTGGAAATTTGAATCATTGAATCATGCTACCTAAATTCACAATATGCTGATTTAAAAACCAGAATGGCAATTTACAATTTTAAGATATTTAATAGGATAACTGGAACTGACTTTTTACTTAGGATACTGTCTACTGCTAGGGCAATAGTTCATGTCAGGGACAAATCACAGGAGATTGCTTGGTGGTGTATACCGAAGGATACATATACCAAGTATAACTTATACCAAGGGATAATGTCAAGAAACTATGGTAGCTTGAGAAATTGCCCTGTGAACTCTACAGACATTTCTACTCAGATAGGTAGTACTGGCTGTTAGGATTGTTTTTCCGAATAATTCTTTATACACTGACAAACTCAGACTTTTTGTTCTTCTATCTCTAATCCCATGCACACTATGATTCACTGTTACAATAACATTTCCTTGCCTATGCATAATGTGATGCACCTGTATTTAAGTTAACTTTAATCTACACTCTAGAGGCAGTTGAAGTACCTTAGTCAGAATCCACCCTCCAGGGTGAATAGTTAACATTTGAAGTACCACAATGAGGAACCAACCCTTCTTTTACTTACTACTTCAAATATCTTGAAGTCTGCACCAAGAGACTTATTAATTAGCAACTGGGATGTAGGAAATCATTTTCCATGGGTGAAATGGATGGGTTTCAAGGTAAGTGGTTGGTTAGAAACATTTGCTGGGTGCCAGTGCTTTTAGGGAACAAGGTATACCAAAAAAACAAAACATTACCATCGAGTCAATTCTGACTCATAGCGACCCTACAGGACAGAGTAGAACTGCCCTATAGGGTTTCCAAGGAGCAGCTGGTGGATTTGAACTGCCAACCCTTTGGTTATCAGCCAACTGCTTAACCAC